AAATTACAATTGCATCTAGAAACTCATAGAGAAATTAAAATATTTTAAGCTATATTATTATAACTTTTAAATAAAAGTATTAAATATATCTGCTTGTAGTTTAAACTCTAAGGCAAACCGTAGATATATGTGCACCCCTCAAGTTTCTGCACACACAAACACACACAATCGATTCCTCTTTCTGGCAATGATTTTCAGTTCTAAAAAACATTCTATATTTTATTTATGCTTTTTCCTCCTAGGAGTGCCTGTCTCCCTCCCCTCCTACCCCACCCTCCCACCCCCAAACACCCACACTGCAGTGAAAATCAATGACTGGACACCCCTAATTTGCTATTTAATATGGAGGACCACGAGCATTCTTAAATTTATCAGAATTGCTGCTAACATGCAGCCAAAGCCCAAAATGATTAATTTTATTGCTTTCCAATAATAAAAGTAGTTGGCACACTAATGACAGAAAATACAGAAATAAATGCTTCACTTCTGTGAATATAAAACAAAATTTGACATCAATAATACATATTTCACATAAAATGAATTGTGTTTAATATCCTTACAGGCATAAGAGTCTTTTGCTCATCAATTTTATGTGTTAACTTGCTGGCCTAAGATAGCTGGGAAAACATTGTTTCTGGGTATGTCTGTGATGGTGTTTCTGGAAGATGAGCATTTGAATCAGTAGGTTGAGTAAAAAAGATCACCCTCACCAATGTGGGTGGGTTGTCAACCTATCCATTGAGAGCCCAAATAGAACAAAAAGGTGGAAGAGTGCAGATTCTCTCTCTCTTTCCTTGAGCTGGGGTATCCATCATCTCCTACCCTTTGCCATCAGAGTTCTTCGTTCTGGGAAGCCAGGAACCAGTGGCCCCACCCCCATAATAATGTGAGCCAATTCCCATATAAACATCCCTCTATCTGTCATCTATCTATCTATCTATCTATCTATCTATCTATCTATCTATCTATCTATCTATCTATCATCTATCTATCCTATTGGTTCTGTGTCTCTGGAGAATATTGACTAACATAAATCTACAGTATGTAGAAAACTATAACTGCAAATAAACAGTAGTAATTCCTTCACTTGTGGAAACTTTCAGACATCATTTAAATTAGAATTATGTGTATAATTACATGAAAATTGTCCATTTTTTTTCTTTTNAGGGAGGGAGGGAGGGAGAGAGAGAGAGAAAAGACAGAAAGGGAGAAAGAAAAAAGTGAGAGAGGGAAGAAAAGAATAAAGGAAGGAATGGAGAAAGGAAGAAACAGCTATTTCTGTGTTTGTAAATATAAGCAGTTAAGATGAGAGAAGACAAGATTTTAACACACAGTAAAGCATATCTCCAGGGTTAAACATTCATTCATTCATAAAAACAGGATAGATCCATCTGTCTCACCGTCACTGTTGATGCAGACAACCTCTTGAACTTGAGTGCCTGGACCACACTCTTTTCCATTATCTGGTTCACAGTCTCCGAGCCTCACGGCTTTCCAGTCGTAGCAGGATGGCTCCTCGCAGGGAATGGCTTCCAGTAAGTGAGGGCAGTTCCCAGAACCCCCAAAGCCCCCGATGGGCTCATTGGTAATGCGCCGTTTCCTCAGTTTGAAACCTGAATCATTGGAAGAGGGAGACATTTATTGTTACCATCATGGACTGACTATTGCAGAGGCCTGAATGAAACCCCGAGTGAAAGCTGGATAAGGTTAGAGGGTAGAAGTCATATCTGTTTTCATTGCTGGTGTATCCCCAAACTCTAGCTTAATGTGAGCGCATTAATAATTTACTAAATGAATAAATAAATGAATAAACAGAATGGCCAAAGAGAGATTTTTGGTGTTAGCTTACAATAGTAAAAATAAGGCAAGAAATGCCATATATCTCCTGTCTCCGTGAGGGCTGGAGTTGAGGCGGAGGAGGGAGGGCGGGAGAGAGCTAGATTGATTCTGCTTGACTTGGGAAGTCTGTAGTTATAAAATATTCAAAGAAACAATGAAATCTCAAGCTATTCAGAAATATTCATGACCAGACAAAAGTGCTATTACTCTGAATTCTTTAACACTATCACACGATTAACTTTGAAAAGGAGCCTCCGAGAAGTTGGATAGTCTCAGAGAAATTACCTCTTTGAGACTCAGTTGATTTTAGACTCCCTGGGAATTTGAATTAGGGCTATAAACCATCTGTGCTCTAATGAGGAGTATTCAAAGTCCTGCTCTGTGCTTTAATAGCATCTAAGTGTTGCCCTTCCTGACAACGTACAACAAAATTAATGTCTGTTTATTGCTATGTGGATATATTAGAATCACTAGGATGCTGTCCTTTGAAACAAAATAGGAAAATGATTTCAATGACTAGATCGCGTGAAAATTACCCCACCATGCCCACCGTGTAGTAAACCATGGCATTTATTCTACTTCTCTTAGCTATATCATTTGTATCATGGAAACAATAGAGCTGTGTTTTTGTTTGTAGCTTCGAAGTAATGAGTTTTGTTTATTGGTCACTAACTATCAGTCAGGCATTGAATTAAGTACTTCCTGTTTATTATCTCATTGAATCTTTAGAGACAACTTGGGTGGCAGATATTATTACACCCCTCTTGCAGATAAGGAGACAAAGATTTAGATAAGTTAATTAACTTATCTAAAGAATATAGGACTGAGTAGGTTTTTCAGTCCAGGTCAGCCTGATAGCACAAGCTCATCTTAACCACTGCATTAAATTGCTTTAGATGGTCTCCATCTGTTGTCTAAATTAACAAGTATCTTGTCTACGTTGTTCTTCAGTCTTAATCTTCTGGTACCATCACCAGAGCAGGTTTATTCATCTTTTGCAATCAATACTCTTTAGCCATTCTGGAAAATACCATACGTGAATAATTGCAAAAAACAACAGAGCAGCATTTTTAAATAATTCATGCTTTGACTCAACTGATGGGAGTTTTAAGCATGTCATGTGACTATTACATACATACCTTTCTTGCCTTGCTGGTCATTACAGTTTTCATAAGTACAAGGTCCCCAAGCTGACCAAGGTGAAACCTCACATTCAGTAGGACAGGGAATGTGGCATAGCTGTGTAGTATTAGGGACAGGGCCCAAGCAAGATTTCAAATCCACTGGCTTTGAGGCTGTTTGGAGAAAAGCAGAGAGATTCCTTAAGAATCAAATACATTGTTGTGGTCAACAATATGATTCTTGGGTCTGCCGAGTGGAGCGTTGGTTAACAGTTGGCTTGGGACGCCAGCTCTGAGCAGCAGGGCCCCAGTTTGGATCCCACGTGAGGGCCAGTGACACTGCCTTCTACAGTTAAGATGGTGAACAACAGCTCGACCTGGAGTTGGGCAATGGCATAGGCTGCAGTGGCTGCCGTGAGCTACCGTGAGCAGCTTTGAGCGGCCGTCCAGTGGCCAGTGACTGATCAGCCTCAGCTGGGAAGAGTGCAATGATCACAATACCAACATGGGCCAGTGAAGTCACGTCCTCCACAAGTAGACTGAAGGACAAAGGGACACCAACTTGTCTGTTCCCCTTCTCTGATTCCCCAATGCTGTTTCCCTCCCCCAATTCCTCAATAAAAAAATCTTTAAAAAACCCCCAATATGATTCTTCTGAAAATATGGAGAAGAAATATGCTTAAAGTGACACCAAGACATTATTTCAATGCTTCTTCTCAGCTACATCCTGAGAATAAAAGGAGAAGGAGTTTGGGGAACAGAAACAGGACAGGGTAGTCAAAGGGAACAGGGCTAGAAGTTTTGCCAATTGTTCGATCACTAGCTTTGCCACTAATTAGCCAGACAATTAATAATGCTGAGCCTAACTTTTCTAGCCAGTAAAATAACCCTTAATGTCAATTTTATCTCTAAAATTCTATAGTTAGATACTAAGAAAGTGGAATCTACTTTATAGAACTGAACACAGTAGGAGGGGGACCATGGCATTAGATATATGGGAAAAGTCTCCACTGAGTGGCTTTGGGTGAGCAGTCTCTCTTCTCAGTTTTGGTTGCCAGGCAGGTAAGTGGTAGATAGAGATGGAGAAAGAGCTGATGCCACAAACAGGCATCTCTCTCTACCTCCAGCTGCATGACTCACCAGGTACTTTCCAGACTTTTACTGAATATACTATGTGCATATGGGATCCAAGTCTCAGAATTGCTGAAAAGACTAATTTATAATTGTCCATTGTCTACTCATAAGTTGACCAATGATCTGTGGATACATACTGCTTGCCCTTGCTTCTCTTCTTTT